GCCCCCCCCCCCCACCAGTTCCTTATGTTCCCTGCAACAAATGTCCACATAAGGAGCAATTACAGGCCAGGCTCATACCCAATCTTGTTTCCTAATACCTTCCTCATCTGGGACTTCTCTATATTCAGGAATATTTGTAAAGGTGTGAATTTAAAGTGGATTACTTAAACTGCATTAAACCCCTGTAGGGCAATGACTCAGAATTTAAGTGGCCTTCATTCGAGTCAGCTTAACTTCACAGTGGAAGCAAATTAAACTAAATCAAAGTAAGGTCACTAAAATTCTGAATAAAACTGCCTCCACCTACGGTTAGTGTCATTCAAATAATCAATTTTAGGAGTTAATTCAGGTCAACTTTTCTGAGCAGCCCTTCAGAAAAGCCCCACAGCTGTGGCTCCAGGCAGAGACCGTGAAATGGGTTCAGAGTAGTGCACGGAGGAGTACAGACTCCACACGGGAGGGCTCCTGAAGAAAAGAGAGATCTGTGAGGGTCTGTGGAAGTAGGGGAGCAGTGGCTATGAAACACCTTGGCTTTAGCAAGGCTTTTGGTGTGGTCCCGTATGACATTCTCATTAATCAGGTCAGGAAATACACATATACCTGCTTGGGTCATCATGCTCAATGGAGGTTCACCAACAGTCCAACATCTAGTTGACAGGAGGCATGAAATGGGATTCCCCAGGCATCTGTCCTGGGTCTAAATATTTATTTATTTCATATATTTAACATCTTTATTAACTATTTGGATAATAGAACTGCTTAGCAAATCTGTGGATGACACCAATGTGGGTGGAGTTGTAGACACTCTGGAGGATAGAGGAAGAATCCAGAATGACCTGCATAGACTGGAAAAATAGTCCACGATCAATCTGATGAAATTCAATAGCACAGTCCAGCACTTGGGATGGAATAATTGCATGCAGAAATGCAGACTGAGGTGGGCTAGGCTACAGTACTGGAGGACTCAGGGGTTACACTGAATCCGAGTCAACAATGTGTTCTTGTTGCAAAAAGAAGTCATCATACTGGACTGTGTAAACAGGACTGTCTCTTGCAGAGCAAGGGAAGTGATCCTCCTGTTCTCTTTGGCACGGGTAAGGCCACACCCAGACTGCTGTGTCTAGTTTCGGGCCCCATACTTCAAGAAAAATGTGGACAAGTTGGAAAGAATCCAGCAGAGAAGCCTGGGAAACATGATTTATGGAGTGAGGCTGAAAGAATTAGGATTATTTAGTCTGGAAAAGAGAAGACTGAGGAGGGACTGGATAACAGTCCTCAAATACCTGAAGGGTCATTATAAAGAAGACTGAGATGGGCTTTTCTCTGTGGCCGTAGAGGGCAGAACTAGATGCAATGGCCTCAAACTGCAGCAGAGGAAATGTAAGCAGGGATGATCCTGCCTGGACCAGGAGACTAGATTAATTGACTTCATGAGGTCCCTTCCAGCCCCTTTCCCATGATCATGATGCGTACCACTGGATCTGTCTATAGGAGATGTAAATTTCTGAAAAAGTCTCCTGCTTTTTCAGCCTGCCTCCCTTTAAAGACTCACATTCCTTATGAACAGGAGATAGGGATCCAGATTGGTATCACTAGCCATGGTGTGTGGAGCAGGCACGCTTTAGCTCTACAGGATCAAGATGTGGGCAATCGCCATCTAACCTAGGAGCTGGCTGTTAGAGGACAGGGGTCTGGAAGTACCAAGGGTCATGGAGTTGGAGTCCAGAACCAGGAAGAAGGATGAAGTCAGGAAACAAGACCCAGGGCACAGAAAACCAGGACCAAGGAGTCAGAAGTCCAGGGCTAGAGAGGGAGGCATTTCTTTTGTTGAGTAGCTTGGTGGCCAGTGAAAGGACCGCTGCTTAAAAACAGGCAACCACACCCAGCAGGCAACTGGGGTCAGATGGGGGTAGACAGGCCACTGGTAACCAGGCCAACTCGGGTAACTAGAACCAGCTGGTGGCAGTATGGCCCATGGCAAATCCTCACACTCCTCAGGACCTTCCTTCTCACAGGCATGTAGACTTCTGTACGTTTATTTAAGAGCAAAACAAATTGCTGAATCACTCATGCAATTCTCCATGAGTTGAGCATGTGAACCATATGACAAATGTTAGCCTCCTTACCTATGGAAGCACTGGCAGATGCTCAAATACTAGGATGAAAAAGGTTGTAAAATAAAAAAAAACAAAACAAAAAAATCCTATAAAAGAACAGAACATATTCCTAAAATAGCATACCCTAGAGAAAAGCCAACATATTCCCATCTGAATTCACTCATAGCTGGAAGTTTAATATGATAGGGTGATTTTACATGCAGTTTACCATACTTTTTTAAAACTTTTTTCTAGAATGCTTGTGCAGTGCTTCTCAGCAGGGTATCCATGTCATCACAAATAGCTTTATAGGTTTAAGGAAGGGGAAAAAGAATTTCAAGCTGCCTGGAGTGACTCTGTATGACAAAGCTGGATCTCAGGGTAGAAATAGATGTTGCCAAATTAAGTGGATCAGCTGTGCCAGGATGCGCTTCACTGGGTGAAACACGTCACCCGTTGTTGTCCGTTGTCCTGCAGCATCAACAGGTGGGACATGTTCTCCAAGGGCCTGTGGGGCCCAGTCTTGCACACCCTAGGAATTCCCAGCAGGATCAGTCCTGTCAAGCCCAGGGAGTGCCAGCCCTCCCAGTTACTGAATCCCAGGGTCACCTCTCAGTAAGTGGGAAAAATTAAGCAGGCACATCCCGAGCTTGGGAGCTCAATCCCGCCCAGGAATTCCCAGGATCAGGCCCCACAAGCCTCCGGAGCACCTGTTGAGGGCAGATGGAGAGTGCAGGTAGTGCCAGACTGACCGCACTCTCCCACCATAAGGCAAATAGACATCCGCTGCAATAAAGCAGCACAACTTACTACCTTTTATCATAACCATGCTACGGCACAACAAAAAGCGTGGACATCTTTTCGGTTTGTGTTGTGCCAGTATAAAAATCGTTATGGTGGCACATAGGAAAAGTCAGTTTCTACCCTAATAGAGCTCCACGGTTTTTTAAATCTGATGTCAAATAGATCCAACATTTTTTCATTTTAAGACATTCACACCACCAGGGTTGTGTTTAACCAGGGTCCTGATTTAATTGGATATTTACATTTCTCTCCCTCTTTTTTTTTTTTAAATGTATGAAGAAATAACTCAAAGGAAAGAACACGCTTACCTAATACTAAGGCTTTTTTGAATGAAGAGATGATGGGGCTTGGCTGGTTGTTTCAGAACTTTTTAGGCAGTTCTGATATCTCTACAGTTATACCTGTAACAAAGCAACTTTCAGTAACTGGCAAAGTAAGTTGAAGAAAATGCAGCATAAAGGTTAAACAAAGGCCTCCTTTTAGATTGTTTTTGTTGAGCCTACTCATTACAATTATCCCTACTCCTTGCAATTATCCTGAAATAGTGTCCATGCTTCCCATTCATACTGCATCTCTAAATAAGAACTAAGGAGAAGAGCATAGGGAGATAAGAGTTTCTTTTGAAGAGTGCTCTGGGTACAAAATGAATGTTTCTTTAGCAATTGCATTTGTACTTGACCAAGATACTGCTGTTTAGCCAAAGAACTATTTATAAACCACTCTGCAAAAAAATCATGGCGTGTGTTAGTTTTAATAGGTGCTAGTCTGGTGTTTTGATCTAACAAGCAACAAAAAAGGCACTGTATTTTTTGCCTTTGTATAGTAGCACTGATAATCAGATTTGACCATGAGGAAAAATCATTATATATGTAAGCAACTGTGAAAGCTAACATGTGTTTAATGGCACAGCTTGTACTTCTGTACCTCTGCCAGCTTACCTCTCTCAAATAACAACTTTAAAGGTTATGCCGCCCAGGGAATATTATCTCTTCTGCAAAAAAGGCACCTGCCTACAGTATAATACTAGTGTGGTGAACTGTGTCTGCAGACATAAATGTAACTTATGGCTAGGGATATGACTACACAAGTTTACAAGCTGGTAAGACAGCTAAACTAGCATACCAGATACCCTCAGTCACCACTAGTATGTCTACTGCCCAACCACAGATTTGCTAATCAGTGGCAGCAGTGTATAACTGCTACAACAGTATCATACTTGGGCTCTTGTGTATGAGGTACACAGCAGTATTCTCCAATAAAAGGATCCCCAGCTGAGAAAATGTTATTCAAGACAGGAAG